CTGCCCCTGAAGGCACACACACCTCAGTAGGTTGTTCGTATCCCTTCTGTGCCCCAGGCAATGCGAGACCTCGGTGCACGGGATCTGGTCTGCAGGTCTGACCTCTGGTTCCCAGAGTTCAATCCCTGACCCCACCAGGGAGAGGAGTGCAAGTCCTAATTCACCCACAGGGAGCCCACGCTGGGTCGATGTCTCTCAGCCTCAGGGTCTGCCTCGTTCTCCTGGGATCACTGTGCCAGCAGCACCTGGGAGGGCTGGCGGGTAGGGAGCTCACAGTCTGAGTTCCCCTATGTCAGCTGTAGGGTCCCAAATGGAAAGGTTCGTTCCCTGTAGGTACCTCTGACTGGCGGCTGTATTGTCTCTGTTGGCAGCCACCGATAAGGACCGGGGAGGGGAGGAGGAGGCAATATGGCGTCTGCCGAGAGGCTCGGGTCTGTGCACATGGAGGTGCCCTGGGGAATTGGGAGCCTGGTGCCGTGTCCGCTACAGGCTTACCGCTGGCTGGTGGTGGCCGTCTCTGGGCTGGTGTCCGCAAGTCTCTCCACCCGCTGGGGAGCCCACCAGCAGTCCCAGATGTAGGGGAGGGGAAAGTAACCGCAACACCGCTGGTCTCCAGGCTTCTCCAGAGGTCTCAGCTTCCAGTTCTCTGCAACCTCCTCCCGTGGAGTCTCCCGTGGTCTCAGGTACCCTCCTTCCGACCCTCGTCCTATGTATGCTCGTCTGCTTGCTTCCTTCTTCTCAATTCTGCTAGAATCTGTCTTTTCTGCAGAGACACTCTGTCTGGCGGTGTTTCTCATCCACCATCTTGCTTCTCTCTATCTAGTCTTGTCTTTAAACTTAGGAAATATCCAAATTAATGATATCACAGGTAAATAAGAGAGCAAAAAACTTTGTGGGTGCATCCTCCTTTTTCACCTGGGGCTGCAGCCAAATTAAACGTATGCAAGTGCAGGGCAGGGTTAGAAGAGGATCTATGTTCTGAAGAACATGGCCTGTAATCCTAGCACTCTGGTAGGCTGAGGCAGGTGGATCGTTTCAGCCCAGGAGTTTGAGACCAGCCTGAGCAAGAGCACGACCCCGTCTCTACTAAAAAAATGGAAAGAAATTAGCTGGATAACTAAAAATATATAGGAAAATAAATTAGCCGGGCAAGGTGGCGTGTGCCTATAGTCCTAGCTACTCGGGAGGCTGAGGCAGGAGGATCGGTTGAGCCCAGGAGTGTGAGGTTGCTGTGAGCCAGGTTGACGCCATGGCACTCTGTCTCAAAAAAAAAAAAAAAAAAAAAAGATCCTTCTTTCTTTCTACATCCAAACCACTGGCAATTCCTGCCCACCCCACTACCTTCAGACTATGCCCCAAATCCGACCTGCTCTTCCATCTCTACTGCCACAGCCTCATTGTCACTTGCGGCAGTGCCCTTTCTTCTGTGTGTGCCATCACCCACGCCCGTCTCCACGCGGCAGCCAGCCTTCCAGCGCTGCACGTCAGCCCGTCAGCCCGCCCCCGTCCTGCCACAGCCCGCGCGGTGAGGCCCGGCCGCCTGCGCCTCTCCCGGCGCGCTGGCCTGCTGGCGCTCCGGCTGGCGCTGGGTCCCTGGGGCGTGGAGTCGGAGGCTGTTTGCGAGGTGGCGAGGGGACCCTCTGGGGAGGCGACACTGGGCAGCCTCGAATGAGGGAATACCTGGTGAGTGCCTGGTGCGGGAAGCAAAACCGAACAAACAGATAAATCGCCAACTAGATGATAGCTCATGTCTCCCCAGTGGCCCGCTTTGCCGCAGCGGTGCCCTGCGCGGCCGGCTTGCGGGCAGGCCCGGCCCCTGCGGGCCGCCCATGAGGGCGAGGAGGTGGCCCAGTCCCAGCCCCTCGGCGGGGTGCCCGGCGCCGCTGGGCTGGGGCTCCGGGGCGCGCAGGCCACAGCCCTGCAGCCCTCCCGCCCCGCCTGCCACACCGCGGCCGCACGTGTGCACACGCCCGGGGGTGCCGGGCGCGGGGCGCCAGGTGTGGCGTCTCCACCGCGCTCCCGGCGTCACGCGCAGCGGCCCGTCCGGGCAGACGGGACGGCGACCGGCGCGGCTCTCACGGGGAGGGCGCGGGCGGCAGTGCCCGTGGGTGCGCCCGCGCGCGTGCGGGGCCGGACCTCGCGCTCGCCGGCTCGGGCCGGCCGCCCCGCTCGCCGCACTTGCAGGCCGCGCCGGAGGCCGCGACTGGACGCAGCCGGGCGCGGGCCGCCCTCCCCGCCCGGAAGCCTCCCCCCTCCCCCGCGGAGGCCGCAGGGGCCGCCCTTGCCCGCCCGCCGCCCGAGCCACGCGGCGGTGCCTCGCCGGCCTCGCTGCCCTTCTGCTTGTGGACGCAGAAACAGGCGAGGCGCGCTGCCCGGGGCGCCAGCACCTGGGAACACGCACCTCACGCTTTATGGACCTTTGTTTTGGGGTTGTTTTGTTTTGGTTCTTTTGGCCAGGCTGGAGTGCAGTGGCCTGATCATAGCTCACTGCAGCCTCGAACTCCTAGGCTTAAACGATCCTCCCGCCTCAGCCTCCAAAAGTGCTGTGATTACACTCGGGAGCCGCTGTGCCTCCGGGACACCTTTGGAGTATACATCTTTTTTATTTTTTTTATTTTTTGAGACAGAGTCTCACTCTTGTTGCCCAGGCTAGAGTGAGTGCCGCGGCGTCAGCCTCGCTCACAGCAACCTCAAACTCCTGGGCTCAAGTGATCCTCCTGCCTCAGCCTCCCGAGTAGCTGGGACTACAGGTATGCGCCACCATGCCCGGCTAAATTTTTCTATATATTTTTAGTTGGCCAATTAATTTCTTTCTGTTTTTGGTAGAGACGGGTCTCGCTCTTGCTCAGGCTGGTCTCAAACTCCTGAGCTCAAAGGATCCGCCTCTGCCTCCCAGAGTGCTAGGGTTACAGGTGTGAGCCAGCGCACCGGGCCTGGAGTTTACATCTTAAAGCACAAAACCAGCCTCTGCTTCTTTGGCACCTCCATCCACACAGCACCTGGGACGCTGCTGGGCACACTCAGGCACCTGACCTGGACAGCATTTGAGGGAGCTTGGAGCAGCATCAGACTAAAGTAGCCCTGCACTGTTTGTGCAAAATGCAGATTCCACCTCTCATTCTTAAAGGCTGTGATTCAGAAAGGCAAGAATGGGGCCCAGAATCTGCATTTTGGTAAACACAATAAGAGACTTTGAGTTGTGGTGGGTAGGTCACACTTTGAGAAATATCAGCAAAGCTTTTAGGCAATGCTGTGCTATGATGAGAAGCTTGGAGTCTGAAGTCTTTACTTGATAAGTAAATATTGCTTATATTTATGGTATACAACATGATGTTTTGATATATGGCTAAACCGAGTTATTTAGCATTTACCTCACATACTTAACCATTTTTGTGTATGATAAGAACACTTAAAATCAACTCTCTTAGCAATTTTCAACTATATAATGTATAGCTATTGTCACAATAGAGCTTCTGAATTTATCTGCATTCCTTTCCCAGCGCAGTCTCTGGGCTAGTGTAGCTTTAGGCTCCTCCTGTAGCGTTTTGCCTGCTGTCCCCTGCCTCTTCAGTTTTCCCAGGCCTGTTTTTTGGATATTTTTCCCCCTGACCCCGGTGAAATGTTGAACCCAATTATTTCAGAAACTAAGTTCTTTATTAGTGTCAACCTGCACTTTTAGAAAACTTCAAACAGTTGTGCAGTGTTGGATAAATTCTGTAGTAAATGAAATGTTTATTTGCTAGTCATTCTCACAGAACCTGAAATCAGCAACCACTTTCTTTTCTTAAATGCAGAAGTTCCATTTTGAGCCTAAACCCCCCCTACCCCCCCCCCAATATTCTGAGCCTCAGGGCCTCCAAAGTCAGAGCTGTCAACCACAAACTCCTTAATTCTTTATGCCCCTCGTGGAATTCAAGGGGCAGATTTTTAAAAAAAAAAAAAAAAACATTAGAAAATGCCTAAATGTCTTTCCTGAAACAACTTAAAGTAAATATACTTCTCTAGGGCTTAGAGGGGGAAATAATTCCCCTCACAGCTTATCCGTCCATCACAGAAACAGAAGGTTGGCAGACAAACTATGCTGAGAGTCCTCAGTTGTGCATTTATTATTGCATTGTAAGAGTTGTATTGCCTTGATCATACAAGGAATGACATTTATGAGAGGGAGGCAACACCACCTTCCCGGTGGTGTCTGCCCTCTGACAAGACCGCGGGGCCGACGTCCAGCCGGCGGAAGGGACCACCACAGAGCATTAACAAGGGAGCAGCCGAGCGCTGGCGCCGGACCCCATCAGAGACAGAAAGCAGTAACTAGGCCAGACAGGCCCGCTGCTTTCACGCTTTGACAGACAAGTGCGAAATGGAAAATAGTCTCTTTAGCTTCTCAGCAAATACAGGGCCTGTGCTGAGAGTTTCCTGACTTCCCATCCCTGAGTTGCTGGCTGCCTGATTCCATGGGGTCAGGTCTGGAGAGAAACTATCATTCCCGGGAGTTCAGGAAAATGGATGTGCTCTCGGCTCTGTGAGGGTGGTTGGGTTGCAAGTGAGATGAGAGAAATCGGGGGGTCATAACTGAGCTCCTGATGCATCCAGAACCCTCTGAATGGTTAGGGAATGCATTTCAGCCATGTTCTAAAAATTATATTTTGAAGTTAAATTTGCTAATGTTTTTTCCAATATTTAAAAGGCTTCAGGAAAGAGATAATACATTTCCTTCTTTGTTCAGAAGGAAAGTGGTGCTCAGCTTGCTGGAATCATCTCTGCTACAGCTACAGAAAGAGCAGTTTGGCTTTATTTGCCAACAGCAGAGAACTTGCTCTGTGTGGCCACAGGTTCTCTGGGGACCCCACGGGCTGTGCCGATACCTCACCCCAGGACCGCCCAAAGAGACTGAGCAGGAGCACACCGAGTCTTCCAGCCCAGGGCAGCCACTGCACACCAGGACACGGACTCTTGAAGATTTCTTTTGACCACTATACCATTTCCACTCTAACTTTCTCATGGTCCCTGCAAGGTGTCGTAGTATTGCCTGTTTGCAGATGAAGAAAGTGAGCTTGAGGAGGCCCCAAGTCCCAGTGACTGGCCCCAAGTCACAGTGCCCTACTGAATGTGGTGTCGCTCACCTGGGGTCCGTGCCCAGTCAGTGGGTGTGCAGTGAAGGGTGGAAGAGGCGCGAGGAGCAAGCCTGATTGTTGTGACTTGCAGTCCCCACTCTCTCCCCACTACATCACGGCTTCTGTACTTGGAAAGCCAGGACAGTGAACTTCAGTTTTTTTAATTAAAGACACAAGAAATCCGTGTCTCTAAACCCCCAGCTTTAATTCTGGAGCTGCTTAAGCCAATTATAATTTCCTGCCGTAAACCAAAAAATAAACTCCACAGTTATAAACATTACAAAGGACAAGCTTTGGCCCACGGGGAAAACAAGTACCTATAGTATAGCGGCACGGAGCCTTCAGGTGTATTTCCTGTCACCACCAGAGCATCCCAGAAAGGTATTTTACAGATAGAGACAAAGAAAACTAAAACATTCTCACTCTGGTTTGTTACTTGTCATAACACCAAGCAAATGACTGAGGGGGACAATTTTGGGCCAACTTTGGAAGGCCAAGAGGAAAGTGCCTATACTGTGTAGACAAAATCCAAAGCAGCCCATTTCAGACAAAACATTCTCTTTTGGAAATTTTGAGACTTTTGTGTGTCTTGAATGTGGTAGAGCTCATCTAAAAATCTTGGAAACCATCCGGAAGCAGTGGCTCATGCCTGTAATCCCAGCACTTTGGGAGGACAAGGTGGGAGGATCGCTTGAGGCCAAGAGTTTGAGTCTGGCCTGAGCAAGAGCAAGACATGTGGTGCTCACCTGTAGTCCCAGCTACTCGGGAGGCTGAGGCAGGAGGATCGCTTGAGCCCAAGAGTTTCAGGTTGCTGTGAGCTAGGCTGACGCCACAGCACTCTAGCTGGGGCCACTGAGCAAGACTTTGTCTCCAAAAATAAATAAATACTAAAATAAATTTTTAAGCATTTATTTCATTTTATTATTTGCAACTTGTTCACATATATGTCTTTTCCACTAACATTTGCAGTAAAGTCATTCTGGGTACAACTGAGAAGAAACATTCAAATAAGAACAATTAAATTGGAAAAGGAATGCATTTGAAAGGAACACAATAGTTATTAGTAAATTGTTCAGTAAAACCAGCTCTTCCCATAATATCTGCTGTTAAGCTGTGTAGTGTAATTTCCATGTGAAAAACATGCTGACCTTAATGACTCAAATCTAAGAGTCTTATATTCTCCTCAGGTGGGCAGGTTAATTTTCTAAGCAATTAATTAATTGCAAAAACTTCTGGTATTGTTACCTACTTAAAAAAAAGTATTACATGGTCTCTTTGTATTTTAGATGTATTTTTACTTAAAATATCACAATATGTAGCATAAATAAAAATTTGGGAAACCATTTTAAAACACAGCAGAGGCAAGGAGTAGGAGGGGGGTCCTTACGGAGTCTTTTATTTTGAGGGCCACGAAAAGACGGCACGGGCAGAACACCGACGTCTGCCCAGAATGGCTTTTTAGACAAAAACTTAGAAGAAAAAAATGACCAAGAAAATATTTCTTGACAATGCCATGAGGTGAAAAGGTGCCATAAATTCTAATACAGATGCAATGATGTATGCCTCTGGCCTGGGTCCAGCCTCCTCTAGGGAGGCTCTTGTAGAGACTCTAGCATCTAAGCTCCTTCCCTTCTCCAAACTCCTCTGAGTTTCTGTGATATAGAGAATACTGCATAGTGTTTTGAATAGTTCACTCTCTTGTATTTGACTGAAGCTCCTTCTCCCATACATAGTTCAGGGCCAGGAGATGAATCTTCAACGAGAAGCATGAAACGACCTAGTCAGCATTGCCTTATTGATTTATTATTTTCCCCCTTGTTTTCTTTTCTTTGAGACAGAGTGTCACTTGGTGTTCTGGGTAGAGTGCAGTGATTGTAGCTCACCGCAAGCTCAAGTCATGGACTGTGAGTGATCTTTCTGTCTCAGCCTCCCGGGTACCTGGGACTACAGGTGCACACCACGACACCTGGCTGGGTTTTGTGGTTTTGTGTGTTTCTTTTTTCTTTTTGTTTTACTTTTTTATTCAGTAGAGATGGAGTCTTACTGTGCTCAGGCTGGTGTCGAACCACTGAGCTCCATCCAGCTCTCCTGCCTCTGCCTCCCAGAAAGCTAGGATTATAGGCATAAGCCACCACACCTGGCCAGCATTGCCTTTAGACCCATGCAGGAAGAGTCCTAGCCTTGGTGCAGCACTCACAAGCCAAGAGTCCTTCCTTCTAGAACATTCTCCAGGTGCCCAAGGCTCCGTAGTTCCCTTCCCAGGCTTGTCCCCCCTGAGTGGATGGTGTTGCCAGTGTGTACACCCCTATTTCCATGGAATGGTGTCTTAGTCCTGCTACTATAACAGAAAACCTAAGTCTGGGTAATTTATAAACAGCAGAAATACATTCAGTTCTGGAGTCTGGAAGTCCAAGATCAAGGCACTGGCAGTTTCAGCGTCTAGTGAAGATTGCTCTTTGCTTCTAAGATGGTGTCTTGTGGCTGCATCTTCCAGAGGGGACGGACACTGTCTCCTCACCTGGCAGAAAGGATTTAAGGGCACCAACGGCCCAAACTCACTCCCTCAATCCCTGTTATGAGGGGCGGCTCTCACCCATGAGCGCTCTGCCCTCCTGGCCTAATCACCTCCTAATGGCCCCCCTCCTAATACTGTTCCACTGGGGATTAAGTTTCAACGTGAGTTTTGAGAGTGACGAGGACATTCAAATCATGGCATCGTGCACATCCCTACTTCCACGAATTGGCAGGGCTCTGACCAAGCTCGGATGTGGGCCTGGGGTGTGCACGTGCCTGGCGGGGAGCGAAGGGGCGTGACCTGCGGGCTGGGCACCAAGGCGCCTGGAGCCACCGCACTCCAGTATGGAGCTCCAAAGAGGCCACGTTTGAACTGGACTTGCCATCTTCGTGTTCCTCAGCAGAACTTAAAAGGCAAAGCCAGCAGAGGGCCACCGTGCTAGACACACCTTGCGGACAGAGGCTGTGGCTTGGCGGGACCGTGAGGAGAGGCCTCCCAGCATGAGGAACGTGGGCTCCCTTGGGTCTCTTGTTCCAGGCCCCACAATGTTTGAGGCAGCCTGTGTATGTCTTGGCCAGCTCAGTCTCTGAAAGCTCTGTTTAATTTTCATCATGTGATTGCTATCACCTATCCAGAGCCAAAAATCGAATCACCAAAATAATGAAATGCCTAGCTAAGCTTAAAAACAAAGCCATGGGGACTGTCTAAATAAATTAGTTATGAAAAACAGAGTGGACACTGCAGGTCCCTGTAATGAATTCAAAGACTCTGCTCCTAGATTGAATTAATGTAAAGAAGGGGGTTTAAGGCAAAGGGAAGTGGCTAGGAGAGGAAGACAGCCGACATTGAGCCGAACATTCCAGGCTCCACCTCAACAGCAAATGTGCATTGCTTGTGGTAACCATTCTTCATATTGTTCTAGTGCTTTAAATCACGGCATAACTTTATTCTTTTAGTTGCCTTTCATTTAAAACATGAGTAAATGTACATGATTAGGCTAGGCTGAAGCTCTCTTCTATACTCTTTAAAAGAAAAGATCTACTAGGGCAAACAAGAGTGCAAGAGCATTGTTAGGTTTAATTAAGAAAAAAGCTCTTTAAAGGATGTAAGCAAAATAATTGTTGCTATGCAAATGGTGCGGTGAATTATAAATGAATCATCCATTCTTTGAAGGAGGCTGAACAGGATCTCTTCCTGAAAAGACTTAGGTAGCGTTTTAAGTTTTTTTTTGAAACATGGGTGAATTTATTTCTTAAGATTCAAGCGTAAACTTAAACATAAGAACAAAGCTTTTCATCAAGAAGGAACACAAAATCTAAATGGCAATCCTGCAATCATGCCTTTTAATAGAAAGCACAAATATGAATACATTATAATTTGTAACTACATTCACAAATTAAAATAACTTCTCTCCAACTCCAAACACCACACAATTTTTAACCTATTCTCATCTTGTTACCTTAGAAATATTTGTCATATGCTATCAGGAAAATATAGGCAAAGATTACTAATCAGTCTCTATGACCAAAGAAATTACTTTCCTTAACTTCTCACTTTTTGAATTATTCATTTGTATTTCAGTTCTGAAAAGCCATACAATTATACCTCCATTCTAGAGGAAAAAAGAATGAATACAAATATCAAGGAGACAAGATACTTTCATGTTATTAAAGCAAAACTCACAGGTGTCTGATTTAGAAATGAACATATCATAGTAAATTTTTTTGTTTTTGAGACAGAGTCTCACTCTGTTGCATGGCCTAGAGTGCCATAGCGTCAGCCTAACTCACAACAACCTCCAACTCCTGGGCTCAAGCGATCCTCCTGCCTCAGCCTCCCTAGTAGCTGGTACTACAGGCATGCACGACCATGCCTGGCTAATTTTTTTTCTATATGTTTTTAGTTGTCCAGATAATTTATTTCTATTTTTAGTAGAGACGGGGTCTCCCTCTTGCTCAGGCTGGTCTCAAACTCCTGAGCTCAAACAATCCACCCACCTAGGCCTTCCAGGGTGCTAGGATTACAGGCGAGAGCCACCGTGCCCAGCAACGTTTGTCCTTCTAGTGGCTGTAGAAGCTTCATATTTTCTTTGGACATCATTAGGTGTCTTAGCTCTTGAAGTGCAACTTTACTGCTATATGCACTTTGCCACTTTGCCAACACTGGTATGCACCTTCCCACTGGAATTATTTATTCCATGCCTATTAATTTCTGTTACAAATCTAACTGATGGAGGAGCTTCTGGGTATTTAGGTCCACATTCTACTTTCAAGCTGTATTCTATTTTGTCCTTAGTGGAACAGTAATCATGGCTGTCCATCTTGTAAGTGTCACATCTTCATCATCGTCAAGGCCCCAGCTAATTGTACTATCGCTTACTTCTTTTTGTCCTTCTTCAAGATCTTCCAATAAGCGAAAATTATGAGGACTTTAACTCCTGTGGAGACCGCCATCTTTTCCTGCAGCCCCGATTATGTGTTTACAAAGGACCTATGCAACAGATTAGTTGGCAGTGTTCTAACTTTTGGGAGATGGGGGGGTGCAAACATCCGAGATAAGGGAGTATGCATGCACTCACACATTTATAATCACCATCCCAAATTGAGTGGGGGGGGGCAGAATCACATATTGGAAAAGTCTAAAAAAAACATCCTTAAAGGATAAAGAGCAGGGCAGGACTAGAAGCAGAATAGTAGTTTACTTGATGAGAATGGGTTTTCACTCTCCAAAAGCAAGTTGGGAAAAATGAGAATACGCACATATACATAACTTCAATAAAAATGTGCCTAGAATTTTACTATTCAGAAAACTGAACAGAAATCTTTACAAAAACCTTCATTCTTGTTTATAATGCCAGATGATTTTTTTCCTTATTATCACCATACATATAACATTTAAGTATTTTCTTTATGAATATTTTAGAGAAAAAAATTTATTTTGCTTCAATGGTGGGCCACATCTGTACAAAGCAATGTAAGCAACATATATGTGTGTGTGTGTGTGTGTGTACAATGATTAAGAAAAAGTACAAAGAATAACAGTATTAAGAAATTCTGCTTTTACAGTAACTGTAGTTTAAGTGTAAATATCTATCAGGGATATATAATCCTAGATTTTAATGAAAGATTCAAAGAGAAACCCACCCTCAAAGTCACCACACAAGCATCAGTCCCTTATC